CACACCTGGCTAAGCATGTCTTCTTCAAAACTGGCTTGATGCTTTCTTCATGAAAACATGATATGGAAACAATGTAATATGCTAGCTTCCTTTCTGGCCTTCCTAATCCAAGTATTTCTCTTCTAATTCTTTGGTTTGCTTGTGGTTGGTTTGTGAAGAAAAGAATACAATACAGAGTTAACTTCTATTAGGTTTCTACTTTCTCAATTTGATTTATTAGTTGATTTACCATATGACTATCTTTTCTCCCCAACTATGCAATAAAAATGGGGATGTATTTCCACATCACTGAGTTCACTAACTTGTATTCTATGTAGAATTTTTAAAATTGCTTACTAACACAGAATTGGGAGACAGGAATAACACCTGTGTTACAAATTAAACATGAGTTTTATTACCTGTAATTGTTAAGCTTCAGAGGACATTATTTGACACATAGTATATAGGAATCTGTGTCATAATAAGCCAAATTACAACTGAGTTCTACTTTTCTGTAATCAAGCTTGTCAACCACTACAGGTCATATTTACCAGCTAAAAATCTATTTCCTTGGGGCTGGGGTTGTGGCTCTGCAGTACAGCACTCGCCTCCCATGTACGAGACTCTGAGTTCAATCCTCAGCACCAAGAAAAATAAATAAGTGAAATAAAGGTATTGTGTCCAACTACAACTAAAAGATAAAAAATATTAAAATAAAAATAAAATTCTATTTCTTAAATAAATAAATCTATGGTGTTGTTTGACCAGACTCCCTGTTAATATGTACTCAACACATTCTTCTCTTCTATCCTGGTTATCACATTACATAATTTCTTTATTGTCCGAACCACCACTACCACCACCACCACCCTACTAGCATATAGGAAGTGAAGACCAGATCTGCCATGTTCACTACCATATTCCCAGTGCCTAATTACATGGGAACTCATCAACTGATCTATTCATCCAACCTCCTCTCCCTATGAAAACAGCCCCGCAACACTGGCTTCCAGAGCCTCAAACAGAAGTTCTGATTATTTGGTATTTGTTATAAGATATATTAATCACTCTACTCCAACAAACCTCCACCTGCACAAGTTCCATTGTTTTGCATCTAGAAGAGCTTGTTTGTTTTTAGATCCCTAAGAATCATTTTGTGTGTGTGGAGGGGGATAATCAGGATTGAACCAAAGGGTACTTAAACACTGAACCATATCCTCATTCTGTTTTTGTTTGTTTGTTTGTTTTTAATTTTGAGAAAAAGTCTCATTAAGTTGCCGAGGTTGGCTTTGAACTTACACAATCCTCCTGCCTCATGCTCCCAAGCCACAGGGATTATAGGCATGTGCCACTACCCAGCTAAGAATAATTTTTTTTTTTAATGATCACTTAGCACATGTATAGTATGCCCCAAACTCAATAATCTTAAATATTTCATGTTCTTTCACATTAATTTAGCTCATACATGAAAGCAGTAGAAATGTATCACACATCTGTTCAATTTATGGGAATTCAACTATTATATTCAGTAAGGAGAGAGAGAAATAGAAAACAAGAAAAAAATGATTCACAGAGAGTCAGGTACTTCCACTTAGTAACTGTATGCTTCATAGTAAGTACAAAAAAGGAGGTGGACATCTGCAGTCCTTTTGGTCAGTCTGTTTCTGCATGCCTCATACACAAGCAATCTACTTTATCTGTTTTTAAAATAATAAAAGCAGGGGCTGGGGTTGTGGCTCAACGACAGAGCGCTGACCTAGCACATGCGAGGTGCTGGGTTCAATCCTCAGCACCACATAAAAATAAATAAATAAACTACAACTAAAAATATATAAAAAACATAATAAAAACAGCATGCTACTCCAATGTGGAGCAAACACTGGCTATGTCAGACTTCCTGAGAAGTCATATTTTAGTCTCTGATATGACTACTTTTCAGGGCACTTTGAGGGTACTGAATTTTCCAAGATATTTTTCAGGAGTACTTTGTGCATATCAATTTTCATCTTACCCAGGAACTTCAAAAACAGACTGTGTTAGATGCAATGGCACTATAGATTGGGATAAGTTGTTTCCTTGGTCCTAAAGTTTCTTCCCATTAGGTAACAATAGCCCAAAGTGCATACAGCTGTCACTAAGAAAAAGTCTATGAAAAACTGTTTCTTTTCCTCCTCTCTTGGAAAATTGTTTAAAAGAAAAGAGTGGGGGCTGGGGATACAGCTCAGTGGTAAAGTGCTTGCCTACGTGCCCAAGGCCCTGGGTTCAATCCCCAGCATCACCAAAAAAATAAAATTAAATTAAAATTTAAAAAAAAAAAGAAAGAAAAGAGTAGTCATTTAAAACTTAGAAAGTATATAAAGAATAATACATGTTAAAAAGAAAAGTGGAAGGAAGGAATGGTACCTGAGATCTTCTCATACACAGTGCTAAATTAAGCTAGTACTACCAAATGGCAGACATAAACAACCCACAGTAGCACCCATTCTAGGAAAAAAAAAGATCTGATTCCCTATCACAAGGTACAGAATAAAAAGACTATAAATATTTACATTAAGTCCAAGTACTAACATTATGTATCAATTTCATATCAACATGTGTATGAGGTGATGAGTGAAATTAATACAAGAGAAAAAATGACTTTTTTTCCAGCTTCTAATAAGTCCCTATTATAAGAATCTTCCTTCAAAGATCCATCCCAATCCCAAAGGTCTCCTCCTACAAATCATAAAAGGCTTGTGTAAGCTTACTTATATTCCCTTTTCTTCTACACAAAACTAGTGTTTGTGAATTATCTGTTAAATGTTCAAAAGACAGGATTCCATACAAGTTACAGGCTGAGTAGATTGGTGGCCTTCTTTATTAATCCTCAATTAGTTAAATTATCATCTCAATTTCTCTTGGGTAGATGTCAGGAAGAATGTAGTCACAAAATTTATTCTTCTTTTGTGGGCAGAGGGGAGGTAAAGGCAAGAAGAAACTTCTTGCTGAAATGCAGAGGGGAAAACAAAGGTTAAAATATCCTAGCACCTTTACCACCATTCCTTTGGGAAGGTGCTCCTGCTCTACTCCAACCATGTGATTTTGATGGTGCTGCCAATGAAATATCCTATCAGCGTTAGCCAGAAGAGCAGGCATATGATATTTTCAAGTCCACTCAGGCCAATCAGGGTCCTTCCTTGGAATCTGTAAACACTGAAGGCAGTTTTCTCTCTAGGGCACACAGCTTGGATGATGTGACACTGGAGGTGTCTGGAGTCCATCTTTCATGCGCTTACGTAATTGAATAGAATGAAACTTGCAATTAGAGAAGCAGAGATGGGGACTGAGGAGTTAGATATCCTCTTTTGGAGAGGAAGAGACACAGAAGAACATCATTTAGTGATTTAGTGAAATCCTAGCCCTACCCTGGTTTCTGAGCCAATAAATCTTTTTTGTTTAAGCTCCTTTGAATTGAGTTTTTGTCACTAGTAACAGGAAAAGCCTTAACTTGAAAAGTGTGATTGCTACCAGAGTAAAATCTAACAAATTCATAACAGTGAAAAATCCCAGGCAAATCTATAGTTTTTGACTAAAACACAGAATGCACTTTTATCATGTCTATATAGAGTGATGACAATTCAAACATTAATTCAGGTCTCAGTTCAGAATGGAGCAGTTTGATCTTAAAAATATGTACAGATAACACCTGAAACTGTGGATCAAAAAAAAAAAGATGCCATCTAAACTTATTGAAACCTAAAAATAGATCAAAAGTTTTATTAAGTTCAAAAGGCTTTACTTTCACACATAAAATTCACATTTGGTGTCATATGGTTGAAATGTCTATGGAACAGTGGGATACAGCTAAGAATCACAAGATACCCCAATATTCTGGAAGACAGAAAAAATTAATCTGCTGCTGATGGTCCAGATACAAAGAAAACAGAAACAAACGTCAACATACTATTGTTCAGTAGATCTGCAAAGAATTATCTCATATATAACTATGTATCTTTGGTCATATGAAACCCAATAGTGTAAATGAAAATTTTCCCATTTACCTTTACTGTACATTCTATGGGACAGGCCAGTTATTGCCAGAAGATTCAGTACCTACTCTGCTTAAATCTAACATAAGCAAACCCATGTCTTATAAGCACACATACACACACACACACACACACACACACATCCCTCAGATGTAGTTATCTCACAAACACAGACATCTAGAATACAGTAACACCACAGCTAACATCTATGCTTACTCTCCTTGTTGGTTTGGTTGGGGAGGGAGTATGGTAGAATGGGCAGTGTAGAAGACACAAGCTTTTCTGTGCATTCTAAAACTACTCTAGGGAGTGGAAGGGACCAAAGGGGCCTGCTAATTTAGAGAAGTCTTCCCATAATCCAAAGCCATGTATACCCCATCCCATCCTACCCTCCTCATTTGGTACACCCAAACATTTTGGGGTTTCCTTCTTGTAAGTTAAAAGTACCAGAGATAGAACTTCCTGGAGGACTAGAAAAGGCATAGCGGTGGCTTCTACTTTAGGGATCCACCTTTCAACCCGCTGTGCTCACTCTGTGGCACACCTTGCTGGTACAGAGAGAGTTGGAACCAGCCTCACAAGAGCGCACCGCAATCCTGTAAGGTAGGAACCTCCACTGCGGTAGGCGGGCTGCACATCGCCGGAGGAAGAGGGTGGAAGGGTCACCCACCACGTAAAGTCTCACAGTTGGGGGAGTGGTTGCGCCTGCCCCGTAGCCTCCATTCGTTTGGACCAACCAGTGGAAACTTGCCTGCCCGGGTTCCAGGCCAAACACAAGACACGCCCCTCCGACCCAGAGTCAACCTGCCTGGCCGGTGGCCCCAGTCCAGTTAGCCCATCAGGGGCTGCCCTGTCAACTCCTGAGGCCGCGCCACTGCCGCGAGGAGGGGAAGACCCGGGCTCAGCGACCTGGCACGCGCGCTGTCCTCCCACCCGCGATACAACCGGTCTCTGGGTCCCCTCCTGATGGCCGGCTCTCAAGAGATTAGTTACCTGAGCTTGAAGCCATTCCGGCCCAGGACTCCAGACTCACGTGACCCCGCCCCCTGCTCTAGCCTCAAGCATGCGCAGTACTCTACCACCGGTGGCCACGCTTCCGCTTACCTCCTCTCGGCGCGCTTTCTCCTGGGCGGTCCGAGAGCCTAAACCACGCCCCTATTTAAAGGGCTAGAGATACACTGTCTGGGGCTAAGGACTCAATGAATGATAACGTCAGAGGAGCGCAGATCATCGACCTTGAGACTAGCCCCTGCACCAGCAGAAATGACTCACTTGAAGGTACAATTATTAGCAGTTTTTAGCAATAAAATATTTTTTAATTGCGGCACGTACGTTGTTTTTTCAGATAATACTATTGCACACTTGCTAGACTCCAGAATAGTGTAGATTATATACGCCCTGGGAAACTAAGTACCACTCCTTGAGAAAGAAAATCTCTTCCAACCCTAGGTCAGTGTTTTAGTCAGCTTTTTCACCGATGTGACTAAAGGTCCCGAACAGAAAAACTGTAAAGGAGGCAAGGTTTATTTAGGGGATCATGGTTTTAGAGGTCTTAGGCCATAAAAGGCCGCCTCCATTCCTAGAGGTTCGAGGTGAGGCAGTAAATCATGGCGGGAGAGTGTGGTGGAGGAAAGCAGCTCACAAGATCATCAGGAAACAGAGAGGAATGTCTCCAGGTGCCAGATACAAATATATACCCCAAGGCCACGCCCAATTCCCCACCTCCTCCAGCCACACCCTCCCACTTCAGTTACCAGTTAATCCCTAAAAGGGGATTAATTCATTGACTGGGTTAAGATTCTCAAAACCCAATCATTTCTCCTCTGAACCTTGCATTGTTTCACACGTGAATTTTTGGAAGACACCTTTCATCTAAACCATGACAGTGAGTTCACTTGGTCTTCTGGAAGCGAACCTACCTTCAGCCAGCTCAGAAAGGATAGCTGATTCACTGACTTTGGGGTTTTGCAGCTAGTAAGGAAAAAAAAAATTATTTAATTTTTGAAGATGAACACTGAATTGCCAATTTTTTACTTTGCCACTAAAGATAGTAATTACGCATACTAAAGACTATTATTTTCTAATTTATCAACATTGCTCTGCAAAAAAATGCATCATAAAATCAAAAATATAGAAGGAACACACTCCCAAATAAAGGAGACATCTTTAAAATGTTTATTTATTTCTATTATTACTACAGAAGAAAGATGAAAGCTTTTAGGACAGACTGGTTTTTACAGTCATCACTGTAAATAACATTGACCCTGGGGTAAATAACATTGATCCTGCTGGGTTTATGGTCAAGAAATTAGAAGAAGAAAGCATGCTACTAGAAGGAGATACAGAAAGAAAATATTCAGTTTGGCAGAGATGTGTTGAGCAATGACCTGGCTACATTTCTGGGCCTTCGGAGGACCCAGAAATGGGAGAGACACAGCCCTGTCCTCCAGATGCTCTTGATCTAAGATCTCCATATACAGGCATCATGACAGCACCAACACAGGCTGATTATAGTGACATAAAGAGAGGTATGGGAGCATCATTTTAGGGTCAGAGATGAGGGGAAGTAGTCGACCACTTCAGGAAGAAGGTGGAATACATGTGGGCCTTGAAGGACTTCAGTAGGCAGAGAACAGGGAGAATGCCTAACTGAGGCAACAGTGGGGTCAATGGCAATCCAGAACGAGTTTGGGGACTAGTTACTGTCCCAATGTGACCATTGTATGTATGGTCAATAGTTTTCAAATTTCTTTAATCATCACCTCCAGTAAGAAATACATTTCAGTCATGACCACTTACGTGTATATATACACACAGTGTTTGTGTATGTATGTGTGATAGAAGGCTGTCTAGCATTTGGTAGACCAGAATCCCTGTTAACAGAGAACTGTTAAATTGGCAGAAATTAAGGAAACAGGGCTATAGGGGGAGAGATGAGAAATTTTCTAACTTCTCCTTTCCCCCAGTGCTGGGGATCAAACCCAGGGCCTCACACATACTAGGCAAGAACTCTACCACTATTCCACATCCTCAGCTCTAACTCATCTTTCTGAAATATCTCTATGGCAATCACAAAATGATAGTGGGTACTTCTAGAAAGCAAACCTAGGATTTATGGCTGATGTAGAGAAGAACATTTCAATTCACAATAAGAAAGGTTTTAGAAGAGTTTAAGCTGCCTCTGAGACCCCTCCAAAGCAACATCCCTTGTATGTACCCCTGTTTATGGAGGGAAGGTCAAATGCTATTCTTCCTAGGGCTGCTGAATTTGAAAAATAAAAATATTTAATGCTTATTATGGAAAACTTGGAAAATTTAGGAAACACTTTAAAATAAAGTATAAACTACTCACATTCCAGAAAACAGTACTTACTATTTTGGCCTATTTTTCTTGAATCTTTTTCTTTTTATATTTTCTTTTTTAATTTTTTTTCTTAGTTGTTGATAGATCTTTATTATTTATTTATTTATACCTGGTGCTGAGAATCAAACCCAGTGCCTCATATATGCCAGGCAAGTGTGCTACTGCTGAACCACAGTCCCAGCCCTATATTTTCATTTTTGACATACTAGAACCGCATAAAATATACAGTTAACTGTCTATATCCTACTTTTTCCCCAATGCTATATCTTATTATGACAGGTGTTATTATTATGACAGGTGTTAAAATTGCTCACAAATATTATTTGTAATAGTTACATAATTATTGATTATATATAGTACTGCTTATTAACAATGCACTTGGCTACCCAAGAGCTCTAATGAAGATATACAATGAGAGTAATTTTGTTTTCATGCCTGCTAACACACCATTCATTCTTCATTCATGGATCAAGGGATAATTTCAACCTTTAAGTCTTAATATTTAAGAAATACATCTTGTGGAGCTGGGGATGTAGCTCAGCAGCAGAGTATTTATCTAGCCTGCATGAAGTTTTGGGATTGATCCCCAGCACTGGAAAAAAATTCATAAAACTATAGCTACCATAGGAAGTGTTTCCTCTGATAGATTTCTGCAAAGTAGATTAGAAACCTCTGGAAAGGATGTGCCATACTAATGCTAATGAAACCATTCATGACCCATGGAAGAAAGTCAAAACACCAAAGTTGACAACACTAAGGTTGACTTTATGGAATTCAAGATTTCACTCTAGGAAGTAACTATAGATGCAGTTGAAACAGCAAGAGAACTAGATTTAGAAGTGAATCCTGAAGATGTGACTGAATTGCTGCAATCTCATGATAAAACTTAACTGGGTAAGGAGTTTCTTCTTATGGATGAGCAAAGAAAATTATTTTTTGAGATGGAATCTACCCCCTGGTGAAGATGCTATGAACATTCTTGAAATAACAAAGGATTTAGAATATTACATAAATTTAGTTGAAAAGCAGCAGCAGAGTTTGAGAAAATTGATTCCAATTTTGAAAGAAGTTCTACTGTGAGTAAAAAACTGTCAAACAGCATCACATGCTACAAAAAAAATCTTTTGTGAAAGTAATTGATGCAGCAAAGTTGCTTGTCTTATTTTAAGAAATTGCCATAGCCAGCCCAACCTTCAGCAGCCACTGCCCTGATTAGTCAGTACCATCAACACTGAGGCAAGACCCTCCACCAGCAAAACCTCACTAAAGGCTCAGATGATCAGTAGCAGTTTTGTGTTTGTTTTGTGGTACTGGATTTTGAACCCAGGGGTGCTCTACCACTGGGCTACATCCTCAGCCCTTTTTATTTTAGTTTGAAACAGGGGCTCACTAAGTTGCCCATGGTGGCTTCAAACTTACCATCCTCCTGCCTCAGCTTCTCAAGTTGCTGGGATTACAGGTGTATGCCACTGTGCACAGCTGATCACTAGCAGTTTTTAGCAATAAAGCATTTTTAATTAAGATAGGTACTTTGTTTTTTCAGATATAATGCTACTGTACACTTTTATTAAAAGACTAAAGAATAATGTAAACACAGCTTTTATATGCACTGAGAAACCAAAAAAAAAAAAAAAAAGTATGTGACTCACTCTATTGTGATATTTGCTTGATTGCCTGGTCTGGAATTGAACCCACAATATCTCTGAAGTGTGCCTGTACTTTAATTCATTTCATTATTCCACTATTTTTGGACATTTGCCTGGCAGGGGTGGGGGGGTCTTATTTCTCAGTGTTAACAGAACATTGGCATGAATTTTCTTATACAGAAATCTTGCCTACATTTTAAAATTATTTCCTTAGGATGGAAACCTGTGCAATTACTGATTCAAAAACCTTTGAAATCTCTTAAGTCTGCCAAATTGCTTTCCAGAAAGGTCAGGGCAGTTTTCATTCTCACAAGAAGTGCTCAAAGGTGCCCATCACACATATCCACCAGCATTTATTTTATCTTTTAGAAAAGCTTTGCCAATTTGGTAGATGAAATGGCCTCTTGTTTTAATTTGCATTGGATTACTAGTGGGGTGGAATATCTATAAATTTATCCATCCTTTATAGTTACTCTGAAAATGCAGTTTCACTACCTACATTTGGATTTGTGATTGGCAAATAGTCCTGAGTGAATTGTTGCAGTCTTAAGAGAAATAAAGCAGGGAAGGATGTTAAAAATAAATGATGTGTTTACACCAAGCTATAACCAAATTGTATTGTGGTGTATTAAACTAACAATAGTTAGTGGGAGAATTAAGCCATCACATAGTATGTGATTAAATATATCTAGGCTATTGCAATCAGGATAATATTCATTCTGTGAGGGGTGATTTGGTTTCATCAAAATATCATTCCTCATGTTAAACCAATATGGTAGGTTTAAATTTCATCAGTTAGTAGTTTTATTTGTATTACAAATACATACAAATTTGATTTTGTTTCCTAGATGCATAAAATCCATAATGATAAAGAGTCCTTTCTTTATATATGTGCAGGTATAAACATACACACACACACACACACACACACACACGTGATAATCAGTTTTCCATTACTGTGACAAAATACCTAAGAAAATCAACTTAAAGGATGAAAGACTTATTGTGGCTCACAGTGTCAGAGTTTCAGTCCATGGTCATTTGGCTCTGTTGTTTCTGGGCCTGTGGTGAGGCAGAACAT